GGTTAGCTGACTCTATTGTTTTTAATACGGTTTAGTGGGTTGCTGTTGTGACGACACTTAGCGACTAGTTCGGTTCTTTTGTTTATTTTAGATTGTTTTGCCATTAGGATAGGATAGTTTTTCTTCTATGCATAGGTTGCATTGGCCAGATTTGCGTCTGTGTGTGTTTGATTTCATTATGATTTCCCATTTCAGAGAGTACTCATAGCCTTTTCTTTTAATTCCCTTATGTGTTCAGAGAGTTGTGTTTCTTTGTCATATTTTTCATTCCTGAATGACTTGGTGTGATCTGTTAGTCCAATGTATGAGTTTTGTTCCTCGTCAGATGTTATGGTAGCTTCATATGTTTATCTAGTGCACTGTTCATGCATTCACCACGTAGCGTGCAGTCCTCTGTTTCTGCAGTTGCATGTTTTGGTGTTTGTTGCTTGGTCTTCTTTTTTAAATGATTTGCGAGTTGTGTCCCTTGATGATGGAATTCATATTCTTCATGCAGCCGTAGCTTATTTTCACGTTGTTTTTGTTGAATATTTTGTGGAACTTGTGTTCGCGTGGGAAGTATCTGCTTATCAGCTTTATGAATGTACCCCCGACGTTGGTTTTGACGTTTTCACTGGGAGGTGGGGGGTGGGGGGTTAAACCATATGATGTTTCTGCTTTTGCTCTTTTCTTGTGTGCGCTTGTGGTGCCTTGTTTTGGGAATATATGTTTTCTGTGTATCCACTGCTGTGCTGCAATGCTTGATTGTATGTGGCTTTAGTGAAGGCGTCCTGATTGGATGAAAATGTCGATATCCTTCCAATGGCTATGGGAATCTGCTTTGTGATTGATTGTGGGTGATTGGACTTGATTTTAAAAATTATTAAATATGTAATTTTGAAAAGATATTACATAGAAAAAACATTACAAAAATGTCCTGGCAGAAAATCCATTATAAAAAAACATTGAAAATACTGTACAAAAAATTATTAAGTATTACTTCTGTCTCTTATACACATCTCAGCATCCTCTACGGCATCAATTTCTTTGGAATTTAAAGAATGAATTGTGAATTGTGTTTTAGTTGTTGTGGTATTGCAGTGTGCATGTAAGCGTATATAATCGCAGATGAATGCTAGTGTCTGTTGCGCAAGCGCAGGTCGACTGAAAGTTCTAGTCGAATGCGCAATAAAGCGCCTGTTATCAAGTCTAATTTGCTAATAGGATGGGAATTTCCATTTCTATATCCTCTCTTCCTGTGTATACATCTTGGGTGAAAACGTACAATAATTTACAAAACGTAAACGTTAGAATCATGAATCAGCATCAACATTCCACACATTCGGTTTCATTAAGTGATGTGCTTGCAATTCTTTGCCCACGAAAGTCGATGAGTTTAAGAGACCTGGTAATGTCACTGCGAGAAAAAGGCTGCAATATCAAAGAGGTTGCACTCGAGAAATTACTACACACGTTCCATACAAAAGTGAGTGTAACCAAGGATGGCAGGAGTACAACGTGCGAGTATTGTTTTGATATCAAAGTATGTATGAAACATTACAACAATGTGTCTGGCACATGTGTACTTGGATCGAGCTGCAAATGTATTCATATCTGTACATTTTTCTTGAGTGGTGAGTATCATAATCAGTGATGTGCTACATACACAGTGTGACCAGCGATGTGAATCAATGCTAGAAAGAAAACTTCAATAGGGATTGCCCCCCCCCCTTGAGTAGGGGAAGAGGATTTTTGGATGAAATAGTTTTAATTGACCTGGCATGAACTTTTGTTGGGTTTCAATTATGACCATTTATTTATTTATTTTTTAGACCAGTTTTTTGATAATTTACTTCTTTGGAAAAAATTATGATAAATTATGCTATTTTTTTTCAAAATTATGCCAGCACATATGCTAGATGTTAAACGGGTCTAAATTATGCCAAAAAGCATAATTATGCTAGGTCTGGTCATTATGCATACATTTGCCTCTACCTCCCACCCTCCCTTGTATAATGATGTCCGTTGCACAAACGCAGTCAAAAGAAACGAGTGCTCGACTGATCGCACTAATCGATTGCGCGATACAATGTTAAGAGACTATTTGTGTATGTGGTTGTGCCAGCTACTGCACTTATAACAGGAGCAACATTTACGTAATGTGGACCTACGACCTGAGAAAAAAAAATCTCTTCGTATCTCTGAAAAGAAAAACGCTTTAAAAATAAATAAATATTGTGCAGCAAACCCATGGGTGGGGCCAGTATTTGCCCGACGGAAGTAGAGGTTCTAGTGTCCCCGACGGGGAGGGTGGCTGAAGTCCCCGACGAGAGCAAAGTGGGCGTCGTCGGCAGTCGCTCAAAATCTTTTGAAAGCGGTCCAGGGGGCGAAGCCCCCGAAAGGTTTAGGGGTTCCAAAGGCTTATTTAATCGATTTTTGTTTATACACTGTATAAAATACATATATTTTTTTGTTCTCCCCGACGAATTGTGGTTTTTCCCCCGACTGACAGTCACTGCAGGTTCGATTCCCACAATGCAACTGATAAAATTTCTTTTCGTTGAAGGGCTAAGGTTGATACTATTTTAACATCATATTTTTCTTTGAGCATCATTATATATTGGTGTATATAATCTGTGTTTATATATATGTAGCCGAAGTATTCGCCTAATAAATTTTAGTGTTTCTAAAGTCAACATCTTACATATTTGAGTTTCTTTACTGTTACGTTATATTATATTGTACATATATATTATATTGCACCAATGTTTTGTTTAATAGGCTTAATGTAAATTTGCTTTTGTGTTATGTAATTTTAGCAGATATCGGCCCTTGATAGCGTTTGTAGCCTTGGATATATATATATGGTGGGTTGTTGTGGCGACACTTATCAACTAGTTCGGTTCTTCTGTTAATTGTGTTTAATTGGTTTGCCATTAAGATTGCTAGTTTTGTCATGATGTAGCAATTAAAGATGGCGGAAAAGGGTAAATCCGGTTTAGGCATGGTGGGTACTACTACCACGAGGTAGGGGGCGATCTATTGACAATCGAATAGCGTTCGGAACTCGAACAAAATTGCGTTCGCCACGAACGCCTTTTACCGTCATTTGAAGGACGCCCTCTAGAGTATGGTAGTACTCTTCGTGATCAACGACATAATCTGCATATTGAAGAACATAAGATACAATTAAAAAAACAAAAACTCCTGTATAAGTAGACACACGATACGCTGAGAGCCTATTTTTCTTCTATGCATAGGTTGCATTGGCCAGATTTGCGTCTGTGTGTGTTTGATTTCATTATGATTTCCCATTTCAGAGAGTACTCATAGCCTTTTCTTTTAATTCCCTTATGTGTTCAGAGAGTTGTGTTTCTTTGTCATATTTTTCATTCCTGAATGACTTGGTGTGATCTGTTAGTCCAATGTATGAGTTTTGTTCCTCGTCAGATGTTATGGTAGCTTCATATGTTTATCTAGTGCACTGTTCATGCATTCACCACGTAGCGTGCAGTCCTCTGTTTCTGCAGTTGCATGTTTTGGTGTTTGTTGCTTGGTCTTCTTTTTTAAATGATTTGCGAGTTGTGTCCCTTGATGATGGAATTCATATTCTTCATGCAGCCGTAGCTTATTTTCACGTTGTTTTTGTTGAATATTTTGTGGAACTTGTGTTCGCGTGGGAAGTATCTGCTTATCAGCTTTATGAATGTACCCCCGACGTTGGTTTTGACGTTTTCACTGGGAGGTGGGGGGTGGGGGGTTAAACCATATGATGTTTCTGCTTTTGCTCTTTTCTTGTGTGCGCTTGTGGTGCCTTGTTTTGGGAATATATGTTTTCTGTGTATCCACTGCTGTGCTGCAATGCTTGATTGTATGTGGCTTTAGTGAAGGCGTCCTGATTGGATGAAAATGTCGATATCCTTCCAATGGCTATGGGAATCTGCTTTGTGATTGATTGTGGGTGATTGGACTTGATTTTAAAAATTATTAAATATGTAATTTTGAAAAGATATTACATAGAAAAAACATTACAAAAATGTCCTGGCAGAAAATCCATTATAAAAAAACATTGAAAATACTGTACAAAAAATTATTAAGTATTACTTGGGTAAGTACCTTGTAAACGCTTTCTCTGATGTAGACCTAACTTATCATATAATATTACATTCGGATTTGGCATCAAAATTGTAGGCATGAAGTTTACAGGCCTTTCACCCCACTGGGCTTTTACAATTGGTAAAATTCTATTTTTAATATAGAAATATCGTTGTTTGATGAATAATAGAGCTGACGATTGGAACTTAGAGTGAAGAGCCTGGAATAACGGATGTATGGTCATAGTACTAATTTTGAAACATGAAACCCGCTTTTATTAATGGTAAAATTATATTTGAGGTGAACCATATGTGTAGCAACACTACTAATACATATGTATGTATACATTTACATTAGTATACTGTAGATGAATATCACATTATAAAGAGTTAAATTAGCCCAGACTATCGGAACTGTTGGTGAAATGTTCCTTTCATTCAGCTTGCTTCGCACCCGCCCCACCCCCACACCTTTTCTTCCTTCTGTTCCTCGTTTTTGATTTGAAAGATGGTGGTACAAACAAACAAGTCATGTAAGATCCATATACCTTCTCATAGATGAGGAGACATTGGATCTTTGAAAGGAAAGTATATTTAAAAAAAATAAAATAAAAAAATAAAAATAAGGAAGAAGAGGGAAGATATTATAAAAGAAAGTATATATTGGTCAACCGAATTCAAACAAAAAATATACTTGTAACTTGTTTATTGTTTTCCTTTCTTATCTGTCAAATACAATGATGCATCCAATTTAATATCGATTTTGTAAATTGCCCTTTCCATAGGGAATGACTATCGAAATGATACCTTTTTGCTTAATAATTTTCCTTTGTTATCTGCCTTTCAATGATGCATTCAACTCACTATCGATGTTGTAAATTGCCTTTTCCATAGGGAGTGACTATTGAAATGTTTAAAGATTATCAAATCAAAATATGAACAACAAAATTAATGGAAAAGTAACTTTAATTTGTACAACAAACACTTACCACCATTGCCTGACTATTATGAATGACTACCAAAAAAAAAATACTTTTCTTCAATCAAAATGTGACTTATAAAAATTTTGTTTGGCTTGTGTCAATAAAATATAAATATTTAAAAAAAATAACAATATTAGTTTAGGTCTATTACCAAAAAAATTTATTATTTTGGATATGTTCTGCTTTTTTGGAGGAGGCAATTGATTGACACAGTAGGTTAAATGTATCACTTTAAATCAGAGGAAAGTTGACAATAAGGGAATTGCTTTTTCTTTTACTTTTGTCATGCGCGATTTAAACCTAGTCTTTAATTTCATTGGCTTGTAAATGTACTCTTTGGAAATTATGAAAGTGAAGCCTTTTTTTTGTATAGGACGGTGTTCGAAAGGCAATCGATGTAGCTATCCTCACGATCTCTCATCTCCCCATAACACTGCCTTCCTACGTCAGCATAGTTTGGACAAGGTTGACCAAAAATGCGTTTTGTCCCGGATACACTTCAAGCAAGGTGACCTTAGTATTTGCACTTTTTACAACAGTGAGAGCGGTTGTAGAAAATCGGATGATTGTAACTTTCTACACATTTGTAGGTAAGTTAAGTCATATTCAAGAATTGTTTATGGAAGCTTAATTTATGATTCTTGCATATTAATACAGAAGTTTTCAAACCTTTTACAATACACAAATAGGCCTATATAGGCCTAGTATATTAACTATGGAAAAATATAATTTTAGGCATATAGGCCTATATTATATTAATTTAGACTGCATCTAATTGTTTGAATATGTCAGTACGTCACGGCTATTAATTATAAATTTTATAGGTCTTATATTGAAAAGAAATGCCCATCTTCTTGTAAGTATAACCACGACATCTTTAAAACTAACTGTAAGAGGGTTTTGCAAAGTAATGGTATACGTACTGACCAACCAGCGAGAGTTATTCTACAAGAATTGAAACAAAAGCTGGAAATGTCTAGTACCACATCTACAAACCCGTCAGCATCAGTACAAGATTGTCCACCTCATCCCACCGAGAAACTCAGCATTTGTACCTATAACATTCGTGGTAAATGTAATTACGGTGAAAGTTGCATACGAGAGCATTGTCCGTTACCGTACAAGTGGTTCTACAAGTTAAAAAACGATGATGAGGCTGTTTGGAGGCCATTCTTCGATGAAGAGCAAGTACAACTTGAAGAAGCATATTGTGATGTATCAAACGATAGTATTGAAGTTACCAATGGGTGAGTTATGTTTATATCAAATACAAAAGATTTTATTATACGTGAAAATTCGTTTCCAGGACGAATCCTTATCAACGATTGGATAATCATGCTAGTTTTTTTTTTATACATATATAGTCGGATAAAATACTAGGCCTATGCTATTGTCGGAACCCGAATGTTTATGTTCTCTCTGTTGTAAAATCGGAAAAGGATGTCCAAACATGGCGATGTCCAAAATGGCGATGTCCAAACATGATAAAAAGAAAAACCAATGCATGATACAAAAATGAGGAGCATCGTAAATGATTTTGCTGTCAAACATGTCTAATAGACAGTTGTTAATTAATACTTCACACGACAAGAAAACTATTTTTCATCCTACATTGTTTTTTACTTTAAAGGTTTGCTTGAAAGAGGTGGGTTGGCTCAACATAGAAAATGCATATTTTTTTATTTGTTTATAGGAGACGGTTTACTAATACTCAAATCCGAGACTCAATTGCAGTTTTAAATTATGACAAGATGGAAATATCAGACTGTATGGTTCTTCGCAAATCGACAGCTTCCAGTGTCACTGAACCTCCAAATCATCCTTTTACAACGGAATGGATTTGGTACTGGGAAGATGATTCTCCTACCTATAATGAAATATGGAGACAATACGGACAAAAGGTATCACCCAAGAGATGTTTAAACAACAAAGACTGCTCAATTTTTGTATTTCTTCATTTAAATTATATTTTGCAATTGCTTTGTTTATTTAACATTTGAATAAAATACAAATATTTTTTTGTAAACATCCTGATGTTGCTTAATACTATTATAATTAGTTGCCTTCTAGTATATTGTCCTGTCTACATATTAATTATTATTTCGTCATAAACAGCATAAAGCATCTTAAATCAAACAAGATTTTAAAGCATAATTGTCCCTTTTTTTAGCCACGTCTACTATTTATTATAAAAAATAATTTCTTTACTTACACAGAACACTGTAGGTAACGCCGTGTCTGATAAAAATAACCACGAATTAGAAGAAAGCTACCAAGAATTTATGGATGATTCCAAACTCTCAACCCTCATGTTTAATACTGGGAAACACAGCTATAGGCTGAATTTTACAACAATGCAGCAAGAAAGTATTACGTACACAACCATCAGAAGGGTCCGGCGTCGTCCTAAGAAGCTTGTCACGATGATTGATATTTCAAACTATAAGAAAGATGTCAAATTAAAGCGGTAAGTTTTGAATAGACCTAACTTGTTTTCTGTTAAAAAACAAAAACAAAGCAAAATGAGATCGTGTTTAGAATATATTTTGCAACAATTGTAAATATTTATAAAGACCCTACTTCTATTTAAATCCCTACTGTGTATACTTGTTTAGAGCTAAGGGTATCATTAAGCCAACCGGTGGTCAAGTTGAATCATTCGCAAACTTCCCTGATACCTGGGAGCCAGTGGTTAACAAATTCGACCCGGATGCTACGTTTCAGCTATTTGATGTTAAGATTGGGAGTGTGGAATACAGTGACATACAGCGTTCATTCAATGCTACTTGTCAAAACAAAGTCCTGAAGATACAACGGGTGCAAAATGAAGAACTGTGGGAAGACTATACCAGGTACGTGATGATGTCAGATACCTCCTTGGTGACATACAAACAAGCCAATATCAACAAGATCACAAGTTTCATTATGATCAACATTAGACGGTTATAAAGCGCAGTTTTTTCCCTAGTCATTGGGTCCACATGCTAAGTGTTGCTGCTGGTTCAGCGAAGGAGCAGGCAACCCCACCAGGTACCCATTTGTGTCCTGCTCAAGGACACGAGCGAAATGCACAGCGAGGGATTGAAACCCCCAAATTGTTCCCACTGCGCTAAACAATGGACAATAGACACAAAATTCAGAGAGGGTAAAGAGCCAGTTGTAAAAAAAAAAAAAAAAAAACATAACATTGTGTCCAAATTTTATCTCATTATGTTAATGTTAATGTATATAATGTTATGTAGTATACTTCTAACATTAACAAAATCCGAAATATTTACTGATACTAACATCAACAATTACATGAACAACAACGATAAATGACTCGCAAAAACAAAAATTGCCGCGAATACGACAGACGGTGAAAGTCAAAAACATGTTACGGTGAAAGTAGTAGAAACATTTATGATGATGTTAGTAATAATAATAATAATAATAATAATAATAATAATAATAATACTGATGATGATGATGATAATGATAATGATGATAATGATAATGATAGGTAATGATGAGGATTATTATTATTATTATTATTATTATTATTATTATTATTATTATTATTATTATTGTATCCTGCTATATTTTAATAGAAAACGAGAAAGAATGAACAAGAGAACAAAACAAGATGAAAGAAGACTTTGGCATGGAACAAGGGAGTACCATGTGCAGGCTATCTGCCAACAGAACTTCGACTTCCGGTGCAGTGGGTCAAGCTCCGGTACAGCTTACGGACAAGGAAGCTATTTCGCCCGCGATGCGAGTTATTCAGCTAATTATGCAATACCTTCAAATGACGGCAAGCGGTTTATGTTTCTTGCAAAAGTATTAGTGGGTGAGTATACTATTGGAAACACAGCGTACAAACGACCTCCTGAGAAGCCTAATGCGACTGGACAAGTAAAAATTCTGTATGATTCTTGTGTAAATACCATTAGTAATCCATCCATTTTCGTTATTTTTGATATAGCTCAGATGTACCCAGATTATCTAATACAATATTAATTGAATTTGATCTGTTTTTCTCTATCGAGGAGAAATATGTAAGATAGAGGTCATCTCTAACAACAATACTCACGATACTTTCTTTTGTCAATTTGTAATGTAGCAGTAGGTCTAACTGACTGTTTATTTTCGATTGGAGTTTCTTAATGTACTGCTTTAAGCAATTATATTTTTAGTTAGCCATGTATACATTTGTAATGCCATTATATTTTTATATTTTATGAAATAAAATATAAATAATATATGTAATAGTGGTGCACGGTAGTATCGCCAGCAATGTACCTACGTAACATAGTCTTAGGTTACTTGTCGCTATTATTATGCATCCGTATAAAACTGAAATGTGATAAACATCACAATTTCAGAATGTGGTATTGCTATAGTAATGTTCCAGAGTAGTCATAGTTTATATTTTTCTTTTATTTTCTGTATAAGTAAATGAAATATAGATCTTCATTGAAATAAGTTTCCGTATCAATTGTGTGAAAAGGTTTCTCCGGACGTCCGGACGGACGAACAAATCAACAGTAGTTGCAATAGGTAATATGAAGGCTAAATTTAAGTTCAAAGACTGTATAATTTTACGAAGTACGGTATGAGTTTGGGTTTAAGGCCGAGTTTAATTCGAATTCCTGACCTCGCTTTAATTAAAGTTTAGCATTCCAGTATAATTATATGCTTCTATAACATTATCATGTAATTCATTTTTTAAAGTTTTTGACTAGTGCACAATGTTATAGTAAGTTATAGTGAAGTGAAATAGTGTTATAGTAGAGTAGTGCTACAGTGATGTTAACTAATAGTGCTGATATACATAATGGAAAAATTTATGCTATTAATTACCAGGGGTTCCAAGTTGTTGAAATCATAATCCTGGAGAATCTGTCATGCAGGTCTGATAGAGGTTTGCTACTTGTGCACGTACTGCTACAACGTGTGTAAACTTATCTCGCAATGCTGTAAAAATAAAATAATGTACATAGGCGTATATCCCGGGGGGATGGGGGATATATCCCCCCAATATTTGACAAGGAAGGGATGGTCCATTGTATCATCCCCCAATATTTTGACTATGTATGGGATAA